TCCTTCCTTCTCATTAGGTGGCCAAAGTATTTGAGTTTCATCTTCAGGATCTGGCCTTCTAAAGAGCAGTCAGGGTTGATCTCAAAAAGAATGGAACTATACCTTCCAGAAGCCCCAGCCAACATGAGCCATGATGAGAGAGGCCAAAAGTTGCTATTCCATCCTTGAAGGACCATTATAACTCATAGTAACTCCAGCCAGATTAGAAGATCAATATTTCCAAAAAGAGCATTGCATTTTAAGAGGAAGTGGATGGAACACCTCACAGAAGTCTTAGGGGGGGGAAAATCAATCTTTGGAAAATTAAATGGACAACTGACATCCACCCCATGATGGAAGAAAGTCTTCACTTCACAGGGGAAATTTTGGAATATTAAACTAGTAGAGTTGTAAATATTGTAAGCCTATAATTCTTTGCAGACTCACTTTCACACCAGCGATGCCTTGGAGACCCACTGCTCCTGGTGGACCGGGCTCCCCCTAAAAGAGGCAATGAAGAACAAAAGAAAAAATATGTAGCATTTTGCTGGAAAAACCTGCGGCAGGAGAAATAAATACTGAATCAAAGAAAAAACATGCATGCTATGACAGTAACTCAGAGTTATTTACATGTGATTTGTTCAGCTCAGCACAGCTGGTGGCCTTTGCTGGCTTGCTTGCATTATTTCATAGGGCAATGCTTCCCCCTTCTGGTGGTGACTGGAAGTGCAGGCATCACAATCATTAATTTCTTGGAGGGGGGGATTTGAAACAACCAGCAAATACCAGGTAGAGTCTGGGACTTTCTCCCCAGAGAATAAATCTTTATAGACAAGAAAGATGACATGAAGATATGTTTGGAAAGTAAACATTTAGCTGGCTCAGGCTAAATGATCTGGATAGAAGTTCTTAATGAGACACCAACAGGTTGTAGAATCCACTGGAAAAGGAAGCTACCGTATTTTTCGGACTATAAGACGCACCTTTTCCACCGCAAAAAGAGGGTGAAAATCTGGGTGCATCTTATACACTGAATACAGCATTTGGCCTCCCAAAACCCCTCCCCCTTTGGAAAAATGAACGTGCAGAACAGTGATGGGTTCTAAATCCCGTTCCAACCGGTACAGTTGAAACGGGCCCAGTGGCATCCATAGCACACACATGCGACTTACTGCTTCTGTGAGCCTCCGTGATGCTCCAGCTGTTAAGCGGAGCATCACACAGGCGGTAGACGCGCCATGCGCAGAAGCACAGAAGCCTTAAAAGACAGGTAAGAAACTCGGGCGGGCAGGTGGACCCTCCGGAGCATTGTACCAGAATGGTATCTGGTGCTTTGGGCAGGCTCCAGTACGCCCGTACCGGGGCATACCGTCTGCAATCCACCACTGGTGCAGAGGAGTTGGGAGGCCTGCAAAGTGCTCCTGGGCACTGGGGCCATTTTTTGCTCGTTTTTGCCCCCCAGGAGAACTCCACAAACCTCACAAAGCCTATGCATGCCCTGTCTTTTGCAAACAAAACCCAGGCTGTTTTTTTACTCTTTTTTGCCAGCGCCTAGAAGCTCAGCGTGCCGAAATGGTCACCCAGTTCCAGGCCATGATGCAGTCCCACTAGAACAAGGCCCTCCCGCTCTTCGCCACCAGCAGTGCTTCCCTCCAGCCTTCGGCCAAAGCCCCCCACCAGGAGGCTGAAGCAGATCCCAAGTCAGAATTTTTGCCGCCCTCTGACCAGCACAAAAAGACCCCGAATACCCCAACTCTGCAGCAACACAAACATTCATTTCACATATCTGGCCCAGGTAGCTTGAGGACCTGTGTTTTAGTGCAATATAAAGAATGCAAATAATTTTTCTGTGGATCACCAACATTTTCTCGTGGACCATCAGTGGTCCAAGGGCCAACAATTGGTGACCGCTGATTTTAATCCCTTCCAGGGGTTCAGAACCCCAAAGCCCTCTGGCTTCCCTAAAGCTTTACGGCAGATGTGGGCGATGATGCCCTCTGAGAAGGCAGGAAGCCTGGGATTTGGGGTTGGGGGAGGGCAGGTCTCCTTCTGCAGGGCCCTCTGAGCTATCCCTGCACCAACAGACACAGTCTTGGCTTTCATGACTATGAAACCTGGAAACAGTGAGATGGAAGGGCAACCAAAGAGAAATGAATTGGTTTGGGAATCATCTTGGTTTTTGTTTTGTTTTTTAAAGATGAATGATGCCATACAAAAAAAGGGAGGGGAAGATATAGGAAACAAGAAAAGTGATGAAAATAACATTTTTTTCCAATGCTCTCCAAAGTGAGATGTAGAGAAGAGAGAGACGAAAACCTTCTTTTACTTACAATTTTCCCAGATGGCCCAGGTAAGCCCGACGGGCCACGGGTCCCTGGTTCGCCCTAGGAAGACATGAAGAAGAAAATGCATACAATCCATTCCCAACTCATCAGAAGTGCTTGGAGGAGGTAAAATGAGCTAATAATTCAAGTGACAGGAAGAGGAAGAAGCTGAAGTTCCTACCTTCTGTCCAGGACCACCTTTGCTCCCAGGAGTGCCTGGCAAACCCTTTGGGGAGACAAGAATATATCAGAATTAGAATGGAGCTAGAAGGGACCTTGGAGGTCTTCTAGTCCAGCCCCCTGCTCAAGCAGGAGATCCTATACCACTTCAGATAGATGACTGTTTAGTAAAACCTCCAGTGATGGAGCACCTACAATTTCTAGAGGCTAGCTGTTCCATGGGTTAATTGTCCTCACTGTTAGGAAGTTTCTCCTTAATTCCAGGTTGCTTCTCTCCTTGATTAGTTTCCAACCATTGTTTCTTGCCCTGACCTCCAGTGCTTTTGAAAATAAATTGACCCCCTCCTCTTTGAGGAGGGCAACCACTCAAATACTAGAATACTGCTTAATTATGTCCTTCCGTAATTTGGAAAAATCCAATTTATTTGGTCTACACCAAGCATACCAATAGGATGGTGATGCGAACCTATGGCACATGTGCCAAAGATGCACACAGAGCCCTCTCTGCTGGCACATGCACCATCGCCCCAGGCCACATACCTATGGTGTTTCTTTTGTGAGCTTCTGTTTCCCTGCAAACAACAAAACAGAAGCTCACGAAAGAAAAAGATCTCACCTCTTCCCTAGCTCCCAGTGTTGGGATGCCCTGCCTCCTGCTGGTCAGCTGGTCTTCGGTTCTCTGCTGCACGTGTGCATACCCACACATGTATGTGCACATTAATACATGTGTGCATATGTGCACGTTGGCGCATGCATGCATGCATACGTGCACACATCTTTCAGTTTGGGCATGTGTGTGTGTGCTTTTTGGGCACTCAGTGGCTAAAAGGTTCACCATCACTGCTATAGGATGATTCCTTCAATGATCTGGTTGCAGAGAAGCCAATTGTAAGCTCCGGAACCATTTTCTTTGAGAGTGGGGCACTGTTGCAAAATGGCATTAGATGGGAAGCTCACTTCAAGCCAGACTTGACTCCTGGGAACCACCTGGACAAGTCCCTGAGGTTTTCTTGGCAAGATTTTCAAAGTGGATCTACATCTATAGCTTTATTGATTAGACTATAGGCCAGCGATGGCAAACCTTTTTTGGCTCACGTACCAAAAGTGGGGGGAGCACAGGGGGGGCATTTGCAGGCGTGTCGCACCCATAATGCAACGTGTGACACACACACACCCGTGCGCATGCACACTTGAGAGGCACTCCCCCCCATTTTTTGCATGCTTTTTTGCCCTCCCCAGGCTCCAGAGGCTTTATAGGAGCCTGGGGAGGGCGAAAAAAGCCTCCCTCACTCCCCCAGAGGCCCTCCAGAGTCTTCAGGGACCTTCCAGTTTGCTCGTAAGGCCGGTTTAGCCCTTCAGAAGCTTCAGGGAAGCCTCTTAAAGGTCCATGAAGTCTCCAGAGGGCTTAAACCGACCCTACAAACAAACCAGAAGTGACTTCCCGAACTTCCGGTTTACCCATAGGGTCAGTTTTTTGCACTCCGAAGGCTTGAGGGAAGCTCCTGAAGTCTCCGGAGGGCTTCCGGGGGAGGAAGGCTTTTTATGCCCTCCCCAGGCTTCTATAAAGCCTCTGGAGCCTGGGGAGGGTGAACTATGACTTTAAAAAAGGCTGAACTCAGCTGGCCAGCGCAGCTGACAGGGCAATGCCTCGCATTTCCCCTGGCTACCTGGGGAATCCTGGAAGTTGAAGTTCCTAAGTCTTAAAGTTGCCAAGGTAGGACATCCTTGGTCTACAGGAACAAAATCCTGTAGTTTTCTTGGCAACATTTTCAGAAAGTCTTTTTCTCTTCCAGGGGTGTGAGAGAGAGGAACTGGCTGAAGGTCATCTGCATGTTTTCCATGCCTAAGACAAAAGGGATTTTTTTTTATTTCAGTGTCTTAACAGTAACAGAGTTGGAAGGGGCCTTGGGGGTCATCTAGTCCAACTCCCTGCTCATGCAGGAGATCTGTACTAGGAATTTGAAACCACCAAACTGCCAACTTTTCTGATCGACAAGCTCAGTGTCTTTGCCACTGAGCCACCTAGTCTGGTGTCTTTAATTACTCCACCAACTGCCCTCTCATAACGCCTGACATGGTTTTAGAAGCTCTGCCAGCCTGTGAAAATAGGTGATGTTTTGAAATTCAGCAACAATTACAGACACAATTATTTCTCTGAACATAAGTGCCTCTCTTGTTCTGTTGGAAGGAATCCATTTCTGTAGCAATTCCTGTCCTTTCCACTTTTGGCAAAAGGTTTCCTGAACCTGTCCATAATACATAATTTTCCATTCGATTTCCAATTGATGGCAATTACAATTTGGGCAGGTACCAGCCCGTTTTTAAACAAAAACCTGGTGATTTCATTTTAAAGGAGGCTTCCAGGGTTATTGGGAGTTTGGGCTGGGATTTATTTTGTGGCTTGGAGGAAAATCAAGCAGCAGGTGTTCAATTTTAAACATTGGCAGAATGCAAGTTTAGTTTTGGGTGATGATGGGACCTAATTTGTTCTGTTTTGGAACAACACAATACTTACGGCCATTCCACTGTGTCCCAAAGGCCCTGGAAGGCCTGGTTGACCCACACTTCCCTATATGAACAAAAAGGGAAGGAATAAGGAAATTAGGAAAGATGCAAAGAGATTGGCAAATACAGGTAGTTTTCTACTTACTCATTTAGTGACCGTTCAAAGTGACAACGGCACTAAAAAGTAACTTATTTTTCACACTGACAACCGGTGCAACATCCCCACGTCACATGATCAGAATCCGGAGCCTTGGCAACTGATTCATATTTGTGATGATTGCAGTGTCCTAGGGTCACATCATTGTCAACTCCCAATGTTGTCATAGTGAGAGAAAGGGGGGAGGGGCACTGGTGAATTCCGGATCCCATTGCAACCGATACGGAGCAACGGGGCTCGATGTCCACCACATGAACCCGCGCAGCATGCGTGCACATGCGTGCATGTGTCCTTACTTCCTATGATGCTGTGCAACGCCTCCGCGACGCTCCAGTTGGTTGGCAACCAGGTGCTGTACACTCCCTGCACGTGTGTGGAAGCGTCTAAGAGCTCAAATACAGGTAAGGAGGGTGGGNTAAACTTTAAATCTAAAAAAAAAATCTAAATTATAACTTCCTACAATACTAACACTGCTGCATTAGAAATAGATCAGTGGGATTGGAAGCATATCAGTGGGACGCCTTTCAGGCGGAACACCAGAAAGTTGGAAATGGTTTCCCCCTCCCATTTTTAAAAAATAAAAATAAAAAAAGCATTATAAAAAAAGCATTAAAATTCAAAAACGACCCCTGTATGGAATGAAATAGAGAAGAAAATGAATGCAAGAAAACTCTTCAGGACTCCCAACATGGTCTTTGCACCAATCTGCTAGCCAGATGCCTGGGATGGTCCCTTTTCTCGCTTGTGATTGGTCGGTTCGCGCTGAGCCTTATTATTTCCCGGGACTTCGGGGCGACCGCGGAGAGAAAGGAAAGAAAGGATGAGAAGGCGCGCATGGTTTGTTTTGATTCGCGCTCAGAGTTAGCCAGGAGCTCAGGATTGGCTGCAGGTTTTGCCGCCTCCACCAATCCGCCTTTGGCAAAAGCAGAACTCCCCCCCCCCTCACTCCTAATTCATTAAAAGAAAAGAGGGAGGGGGGAAGAAGCGCCTCTTCGTTGGAGCAGCTGCTCTCCCGCTCGCTCTCCTCGCTTTCCCGTCCAGCCGGACCTGCAGGTACGCCGGGAGCTCTTTGCAGCCGACCCCCGCGGAGAAATGCCCGCGATCCCGGCTTTCCCGTTGCGCCGCCGGCTCCCGCTCTTGTTTCTCCTTCATTTCCCTCTCGCCCTCTGGATGAAGAACGGCTGGGTGGCTGGCACAGCGGCGGCGGCGATGATGCCCGGCTCGTCTCCCCTGCCGGAATCCGCCTTGCAGAAGCCCACCGTCTTCTTGGCCATCCTCGCCAGGAACGCTGCCCGCTCCTTGCCCCATTTCCTCGGCTGCCTGGAGAGGCTGCGCTACCCGAAGAACCGGATCGCCGTCTGGTAAGGGTGCCAACAAGCATGGAGAAGAATCGGATGGGGGATTCGATCCAGGGGCGAGCGGGGTGGGGGGCAGGTTTGTAACCATCACATGGGGAATTCCCCCCCCCCCCGAGTTATTTCCAGGTACTTGGTCAAAAGGTGCCAGGGAGACTGAGCGATGGGCAGGAACTGATGCCAGCGTGTGCCAGGTATGGTTGCCAACTGATTGGGGGGGAAGGAAGAGACTTAACTCTACTACTTGAAAGTAGAAGCAGACTTAGTCCAGTGTTTCTCAACCTTGTCAACTTGAAGATGTCCGGACTTCAACTCCCAGAATTCCCCAG